GCCACCTTAGGTGTACGTGGCTGGCGCCTTAGCTGCTTGTGCCACAGGCGCCGAGCCCAAAATTAGATTTGTTATACCTAAGATTTAAATTGTGGTCTCCAAAACAACCACTAAAGAAGTAACTCAAGAAATAGAAGAAATGATAAGGCAATTAAAATTGTATGCTAGAAAATATTTAACATGAAAGTAGATATTACTGGAGGAATAGAAAGAAAAAAGGGATTGAGACCTTGCACTCTGGCCGGAGAGATAGCTCGTCTGTAATCATAGCACTCTGAGAGGCTGAGGCAGGTGGATTGCTTGAGCACAGTTCTATACCAGCCTGAGTAAGAGCAAGACCCTTCAATAGAAAAACTGGGCATCATGGTGAGGGCCTGTAGTCTCAGCTCCTTGGGAGGCTGCAGCAAGAGGATTGCTTGAGCCCAGGAGGTTGAGGTTGCTATGAGCTATTATGGTGCCACAGCACTCTGCAGGGGTCCTCAAACTTTTTAAACGGAGCCAGTTCACTGTCCCTCAGACTATTGGAGGGCTGGACTACAGGCTGGGGACGAGTTGGCTGCTAAGCAGGACAGGCATTGGTGGCAAAAACACCTGGCGTGCTGGATAAATGTCCTTGGCAGGCTGCATGTGGCCTGTAGGTCATAGTTTGAGGACCCTTGCATAGAGCAACAGAGTAAGATTTCGTCTCATACAACAAAAAAAGACCTTGCACCCAAATGTTTATAGCAGCACAACTCTCAATTGCAAAGGGCAACCCAGGTGCCCTTCAAGATTAATAAACTGTGGTATGTGTGTACCATGCAGTACTATTCAGCAATAAAAGATGGACATTTCATATCTTTGTTACAAACTTGTTTTCTGTAGTGGTAACGTGAGTCCTCTGTGTGTGTGTTCTCCCAATGAGTTTTATGCTTTCGTGTGTTTTTATGATGATGGGTATCATCCTTTTGCTTCCACAGGTAGGTGGACCAGGCTAGTGATGGATTCCCTCACTTTTTCCTTTGGGGAAGACTCTGTCCTTCATTTACAAAGGTTAACTTTGCGGGGTGTAGTATACTTGGCTGACTGTTTTTTCTTTCAACACTTTGCTCTTGCTGCTTTTAGAATGCTTTTTCTTTTGACTTTGTACAGTTCACCTATCATGTGTGCTACATAAAACAGTGGCAGCTATCTTTCTGGGGGCGTATTTATGGCTAACTCCACTGCCTAACCAGCAAAGCCGCTGGCTCAGTGGAGCCCTTGACTCAGTTTCCCCTCATCTCCTAGGCCTACTTCACTGATTGTTGGGCTAAGATGTAACATAATGGGGTCCAATGAGCTATTGCTCCTGTTCAGCTTCAGTGCCAACTGTGTAAGAAAGACCAGAAGTAGATGTGGTTGTTCCTCTCAGTACATAGAACTCAGGACAATGCTCTGGCCAGTATTCCCCTGATGAACATCACTATGGTTTTACTAACTTTGGGGCTGGAGTCTGCCACATAACATCTTTTAAGTCTAGCAGATTAAAGATACCTCTCTTTGGCCATTAAAATCACAGAAATTGCTTAGCTTTCCTAATAACTAAACAAGTTAATATTAAACTAAATGCCATTTTTTCCTCATACAGGCATATCTTGGAAATATTGGGGGTTTGGTTCCAGACCATCATAATAAAGTGAGTTACTCAAATGTTTTGGTTTCCTAATCCATATAAAAGTTGTTTTATTGTAGTCTAGTAAGTATGCAAAAGCATTTTGTCTAAAAGTATAAACCTTTCATTTGTAAAAAATGCAACATCTGTGAAGCATACTGAAGGTGTGACTGGCCCGACAAAAGTGAGATTCTGTCAGCAATACCAGTATTGGCTATGGAACGGATGCAAGGTGTTCTGAAGGAGCCCACTGTTGTTGGGATATATGTTGGTTCAGTCTTTTTGAAAAGCAACTTAACTGAAAATGCACATACATACTGGCTGAAGGACCTCACTTCTAAATAGCTAATAAAGAGAAATACATGTAAGAGGCATGTACTAGCATGTTTATAGAAGTGGGAGTAACCTTACATTAAGTTTTATTTATTCCTTCTACCTACTATTATATTTCACTATTTATTCCTACCAAACTTTTGGAATCTCTATACCAGGGGTCCTCAAACTTTTTTAACAGGGGGCCAGTTCACTATTCCTCAGACCGTTGGAGGGCCAGACTGTGGGCCCCCAGACGAGTCGGCTGCTAAGTTAGCAGGACAGGTAGTGGTGGCAAAAACACCTGGCGGGCCCAATAAATGTCCTTGGTGGGCTGCAGTTTGAGGACACCTACATACCTACAATTTTACCATTTTTTACTCTCCCCCCATTCCACTGAAACATTCTTCAGAGGGTTACTTACCATAACATTAAAACTAATGTCTTCCTACCAATCTGCATCTTTCTAATCACTACATAGCATTCAGCAGAGACCGAAATGACATTTACGGTAACTTTCTACCACGTGCTTTCATATACACATATACAAAAGCTCAGATGACCTAATAAAAAACCCTTTGAAACAGGTGGTATAAATCCTATCTTAGAGATTAGGAAACAAGCTGGGAGTGGCTTGCCTGAGATCACACACAAACCTGCAGGAAAATGAAACCAAGAGTCCAAGTGCTCATCCTTCTAATGACTGGTCCCGAAACTCTTTTTCTCTGGTTTCCTTTATAATCCTTTTTATTATTATTACTATTATTAACAGAACTAAACATGAAGATTAATCTTTTCTCTCAGTAGATTTCAGCTTCGTTAAAGTGAACTTAGAATTAAAATTCTCACATCTATGCTTACACTAACTTAGATGGAAACAAGCAAGCAAATACTGTTTGATAGCAATCAGCAGACTTTAATATTCAAGAAAAATTAAGTCCATCATACACATTAAAAATACAGGAAATTTCATGCAGACATGAAGCTTCCAATTCAGCCTGTATGACACCTTTTAGAATGAGTTACATATAATATAGTACGTTTTACAGTTCCCAGACCTCATAATTTTATACTCTGATTTATACAGCTTCTCTTTATATTTTACACATCCCATCTTGTTCACTTGATTAATATACCCTAAATCTGCAGCACTTTAGAATATAGAAATTTTTTAAAAAGTACAATGACCTACCTCCTTCCACTTTATGAAAATGAAAACTTTTATATGTGTTTTAGGAAAAAAATTTAAAACTTTAAGGCTTATATACTTCAGTAGCTAGGACTAAAATTAAGAAATACAAAATTAAAGCCTCCAGTGACACTTCTATTATTGATTGATAGCACATTTTCAATCAAGATAAGAATGTATTAACTGCAAAAGCAATAAGAAAAAAAGTGGTACAAATTTGTGTAGAACATCTAAGAAAAATTCATGATCTGAGGGAGAAAATAATAAATGACTGGTTTCAGCATTAACTAAATATGCTGTAATTTAGAAATAAGTAACATTAAAGAATAAAACCTAATAGCAAAAAACATTTTAGTAAAGCCGACCTCCCAGTGCCAGCCTGTTTTTACCTCTGTGAGAAAAGCAAAGATCACCTGTTTGAATACGAGTTGTAAAAAGTAACAGCCAGTAAATAAAAAGCATGTCTAAATCACTCAAAAAATATGCATTTTTCTCTTCAATGGATTTTTAAAAATACCTATGATGTACCTTATTTTTTTCTTAAAAAATTTTTTTTCCCTTGCAAATTAATTTTAAGTTTATTCCCATCTAATGAACATCTGCCAAGTACTGAGGGACACAAAAAGGAGAAATAGTTTAAAAACAACAAAAAAACCTCAACAGGTTACAGACTTCCCTAATTGCAAAAATCAAAGTAACTCGCTGGAATCCTCTGCATAGTGAGAATAAAGGTCAAAGTTCCATCACTGTTTGGAGAAAAGTATCTCCCCCCACCCCCAAACTAATAAGATGCCAAATAGGGAAGTGACTCTTTGAACCTAACTGACAAAGTTCTAAAGATTTACAAGTTTTCCTGTTAAAATTTTTTTATGCCAGCAGCACATTATTGAGATTAAATTCATCTAATCCAAACTGCCACAGAGGTCATTTAGAGCAGTCACAATTATCTGTGAAAATATGCAATAAAAATTCTTCCTTTTCTCCAAGAAAAGGTTAAAACATAGGTCATTCTCTACTTTCTAAGCTACTGGAAACAATACTATCCATGTAAAAATCACAAGGGAAAACATCCTCCAAAAAAAGACCTGCTAGAGGTAGAAATTTAAAGCAGCATATATTGTTTTAAACTGCATCCATCAGAGAACAAAATTGGTGTTAATCTGAAATCACATAATGGCTGTTGCTTATAATGAAAACACAGACCATGGGCAGTAATTTATCCCTGAATTTCATATTCAAAATTTCCCCCTTTAATACTATGATAGTTTTTACTAGTCTGTAATTGTTTTAATGAAAAAAAGGGCTTTCATAATCCAGATAATCTAAAGAAAAGACATTATTGTAAACATCACACTGACAAACTCGTATTCATTTATAGTTTGAAACCATCCATTTCAAATGGATAAGTTTTATTCTTCTTTTCCCAGTTTCCTAGCACTACCTTTAACAAAGGTTTTTATGCTTCACTTTGAGTGTTGACATCCCGTACATTTCAAAGTGATCCATGATGAGTTTGCTTTCATAAAGTGTTCAGGTCAGTGTAGCCAAGACTTGTTAATTTCTCAGTTACCTGAATGCATTTTACTGGCCTGTGATGCTATTTAACATTTCATAAAAATGAAATGCTTAATACTTCTCTAAATTCAGCTAAGACAGAAAAAGTAAAATAATTTGAATGATAAAAGAATAGACACACATTTTATGTATGGATTGCTTAGATAAGTCCCAATTCCAGATGTTGAATGTGACAGAGGATCCTCAGTCTTTTCTAAAAATAACATGTGCAGTGCACACAAAACAACAAAAAAAGGAAGATTATAGACTTCAATACTATTAGTCATTAAAATGGCAGATTTGCAACAGAGAGTTTCATGAAGACACTGGAGATTAGGTTTTTTCTGAAAGATGATTCTGGGTTTCAAGGAAAAAGTATACTTTGAAGACATTTCCTCCATTTTTACTCGTAGAAGTACAAATCTGCATGGCATAGTATATTTCTGAAAATGCAATAGACATATTAAGAAAATAGACACTATTTCTAAATTTTGTTAGGAATAAGAAGGCACCACTGATTTGAGGTTGTGTCCTGTCATCACTGATAGTTGATTTTGAGTTGTTTATTTCACTATTTGCTCTTATTAAACTTTTTTCCAGGTAATATCACTTGAAACTATTACTGTGGTTTACGGACCACAAACAAGACACATTCATAGTAGTATTTCATCATAGAGAGATCGTTCACAGTATATGTTGACAAGACAGATTCCTCTTCCACCTGAAATGCAAACAATAAGAACAATGATGATGGTGGTCGTGATGACATCACTAACAAATACTGAGCACTTCTAAGTGGCAGGCACTATTTTAAGCATATTCATTTCATTACATACAGCTACCTTAACAAGATGAGTACTACTAGAAATCCCACTTTACAAAACAGGGGCAATACAAGTTGATCAAGGAGACACTAAGTGGTACAACTGGGTTTCATACTGCAGAGCTTGAACTCTGAGTATCTAAACTACTAGGATATATTGATTGGTTCTCTGTATTTTGAAGAACAATCTATTGTGTATTTTTTATTTATATTTTCTAAAGCCCTTGACGGTATCTAATGTTTATAAAATGAACACAATAGCCAAAATATCATAAAACCTGATATTACCCATGATTAAAAAAAACAAAGATCAAGCCATACAAAAGAACATGTAGTGAACAACATCCCTCCTACACCTGCTTTCTGACCTCTTTTGTCTCCTCCTGTAGCCTAGTCTACTTAATAACTATCAGTGAGAGTCTGCTAAGGCTTAATGACAAGCTACCAGTTTTTGAAAGGTTACTTCACACACACACTTTATACACACAATCACATTATCCCAAATGCTTACAATTTTGAAAGCTAAGTAATACAGGTTGAGCATCCTTAATTCAAAAATCTGAAATGCTCCAAAAATCTGAAACTTTGTGAGCATTGACATTATACCACAAGTAGAAAATTCCACACCTGACCTGTGATGCATGCACAAAATTAGCACAATGGTTACAACACCAGCCACATGCACTCAGGCTGGCAGGTTCAAACCCAGCCCAGGCCAGCTAAAAAAACAATGACAACTGCAACAACAACAACAAAAACCAGCTGGGCATTGTAGTGGGTGCTTGCAGTCCCAGTCACTAGGGAAGCTGAGGCAAGAGAATTGCTTAAGCCCAAGACTTTGAGGTTGATGTGAGCTGTGACACCATTGCACTCTACAGAGAGTAACATATTGAGACTCTGCCTCAAAAAAAAAAAAAAAAAAAGAATGCTTTGATGTAATTGAGCCAAAGTAAAAAACAAAAACAACCCCCAAAACCAGTACTGAATAAAATTACCTTCAATCTATGTCCATAGGTGTATATGAAACCTAAATTGGAATGTCAAGTTCACACTTGGGTTCTATCCCCAAGACAGCTTATTATGTATATGCAAATACTCCAAAATTGGAAAATATCTGAAATTCAAAACATTTTTGGTCCCAAGAATTTCCAATAAGGGATACTCAACTTGAATTATCTTCACTTTATGGATGAATAAACTGAGAAATTAAAAAATAAAGTCATTTAACTGCCATTGTCACCATTCCTGTTCAAGTGCTTTGGATATTAAACTTTGGTAATATTTCATTTCATCCTTACCTCTACCTGGAATCCATACTGCAGAACAACGTTTTTAATATCCTCATAGCTCAATTCTATGGAAAGTTCATTTGCCAAATTTTCAAAGTGGTACAGCAAAGGACCTATGGTTTAAAGATAGTATGAATGAATTACTTAAATGAAAATATACACTAGAAGCTATGTAGACTGAATTCCAAGTTGAATAGTAAGTAGTGGATGAGACAAACATGAAAAGAAATACAGAACTTTTATATTTGCTGAGGACACTTATCCACCAGACCTCTGAAACTCTGGCCCAGTAACTGACATTTGGGAGCTGGGTCTCCATTCACGGGGAGTGAATCCCTCTAGTATACTTGCCTTACCATGTCTACATCATGGGCCTTCATCTGTGACTATCAAATTACTGAAGTAGTAGCTGGATCAGAAAAAGCCAAGTCCCCAAATCCCTAAGGTATTCTGTGATTATAATTCCACAAGTAAATACAAAACTGCAGTTAGAAAATGGGGTCATCACAAGAAAACAGAGAAGTGGTCTCAAGCTAGACTAGGTAGGAGAGGTCATGGGTTGAAGAGAAGTTACAGGAAAGGAAAGTTTCCTGGAAGGAAGAGGTGACACTAAAGTTTGACGACCCTTGCTCAAACTCTTGGGCTCAAGTAATCCTCTTGCCTCAGCCTCCCGAGTAGCTGGGACTACAGGCACCCACCATGCGGGCTAGTCTTTTCTACTTTTAGTAGCAACTGGGTCTTGCTCAGGCTGGTCTCAAATTCCTGAACTCAAGTAATCCACCTGCATTGGCCTCCCACTCCCAGAGTACTAGAATTACAGACAGGAGCCACCTCACCTGGCCCATAAGGAGGTTATGAATTTATCACTATAAATGTT